TTGTAATTATTTATATATCTTATGGAACAGTACAAAAATAACCCAATTATTTTACCAGTAAACTATAAAAGTAAGATTATATTTCTTCTTTATTTTTCATCATTTATTCTCTGCTATCCCATTTTTAAGTAAAGAACAACAATGCAGTTCTGCCAGCTTTTAGAGAGACTCTAAGATCCGTGATGTGTTTTTGTTTTGTTTTGTTTTGTTTTTTTAGAGATGATCTTTAACTTCACAAACCTGGATTTCTTTCATTTAACAGCTTTGGACTGAGACAAATATAGGAACCCTGATAATTTTTATTTCAACATAGCATGCCTCTTCCTTCCCACTTCATTCCCATGCAGCTTACATTTAAAATCTAAAGCTTCTTCCTGGACCAAGTCCTTTCAGCAACTTCAGGGTAAGGGAGAGATGCAATTTCTAAAATTTCCACAGCATTCTTTTTCTTTCTTCATTCATTTACAGCTGTCCTTCCTTTCTTTTGTTCTCATTTCATGTTTCTTTTACCTGACAACTACAATGAGAAATTCAGAAACCTCACCTGTTCTGAATGAAGAAGTTACAGTCATGTCATGCGCATGACTTTATGACAGACCATACTCCATTTTCTAGTGAAGGTTGTTGTTTTCCTTGTTAGCCTCATTCACAGCAAGCTCGTACATGCATTATATAAATACTGGCAGCAGCAAACTTCCTTCAAAGGTGAAAGTGTAACAACACGGCACATCTCTGAGCATAAGTGTTCACTGAATGGCAGCTTTTAAACAGAAAAAATGTAATGGATTTGCCCTATGTGCCAAAACCTACTAGTGAATGTAGTCTTCATTAAAAATGAAAGGAACTTAAAGTTACTAGAGAAATGTCCTGACCAAGTCTCAGACTGGTGATGGGGCCATATGTGGCCTCATCATACCTGAGAGAGGTACAAAAGCCTCCTTGAATAAATAGCCCGGCCCTGAGCTGGGCCGATTGGCATGACATGCAGAAAAGACATCAAAGATCACTAGAGGATTAAGGATCAGCTTTCTCTGAGAGAAAAAAAGAAGGAAGACAGCAAAAATGTGCATGGGATACTTCATTTCCTAGAGCAGACTGAACAGTGTGAAATTCAGCTAGTCCAAGAAAACACAGTATACCAAAACCATCTGAAAAACATGTTGCTGATGTCTGCTTGCATTTTACCAGTGATCAGTGTGATGGAAAGACAGAGAACTAGTATTTCTAATTTTCTGGTTCTCTTTGAAACAAGGTGACAATGATTTCAGACAAACTTAATAATGTTATTATACTGTGATTTTTTTAAATCACTGCAAAGTCTGAGATACAGAAACTAAAAAAAAAAAAAAAATAGAATGAATGTTAAAAATAACAGCATTCGTCCACTATGACTTATGTCACCTTGGCACACCCTTTTAGAGCAGAATGCTTACAAGAGAGGGTAGATTGTATTTTCCATTGATACTGCACTGGGTCTTATGATCTCTTGGACTAGGTATAATCAGAGCATTTCTGCTAGCAGTACAGTAGTTGCTATTCTGACATCAATGACAAGCATACAAGGCAAAATGCAAAGTCAATGAAAACAGCTTTTTACTGCAGATTTGCTTAATGTCTTTCCTCGTAGGCTAAGATACTTCTGCTAGGGGAAATGGGTGGCAAATAAAGTGTGTTTTTTTCATTATTTCCAATAAAGTTTGAGTAAGTGATTTTTGTGCTAAAGCTAGTAAAATGTCATAATTATCTTCATAGTATAGTGTGTTACTTTCAATATAACAAAAATATCAGGAGAAGAAAACAATTCAGGCACTTAAGAAAGTCTTAGTTTTTTTGTAGTCATCTTAGCCTACATTATTTAAAAGCCACAAAATAGCAACTGCCTGTGTTAAAATGAATTCTCCTTTAAAAAAGCTACCATTAAGATTTTATCAAGATTTTATTTTCACCATACAGACTATATAAAATATCTTAATCATTAAAAAAAAAATAGAAGGAAAAAAATATGTTATCTGTTTGCCTGCTTGAGGCCTAGGAAATGTCTTATCCAATTTTTAAATTTACTTTTTGTTTTAGAAAAGTAAATTCTAAAGTAAATTGTTTTAGAAAATTGATCCCCACCCAAGCTGATAATGTGAAAAACAGGCTTCAGCTGAAAACAAATCAAAACAGTCCAGTTATACAAATACCTTAAAATATCCAGAGATTCACACCAGCAATAACCTGTTCTCCATTATGCACAGCAGTACCAGAGAATGCTGCTATGCTCTCCACAGTTTTTGGCTTCAGCCTTAACAACACTTGTGGTAGGATTACCACTGTAGCACAGGGGTGCAGGGTCAAAACTCGATAAGCTGAACTTTTGCCAACAGAAACATTTATCTTGCCACAAAAGAACTCCTCTGATGAATCTGTTCATATATTGACAGTCCTACTTTTGGGAACTCCAGACAGAAGAAACAGAACTTGCAGGAAACCTCTGCTTTCAGGATGTGTGCAGCTCATTTTAGGTGAGCAAGGAAAAACATGAGAAAGACAACGGAAGCAGGAAAAACAAAAAGAGGCCAGCAGCTGCTAAGTGCAATAATACTGCGGTGGTTGCACGCCCTTTCCTCCTCACTCCAAGAATTCCAACATTTTAAATGGCAATTATTACCACAAATTAACTCTGCACAGATTAGTCAGGTACAGCATGAGAGGACTGCAGTTCTAAGCTATTTTTGATCTATTCAGTTAATTATGATTCTTGGTTAGCAGAACTGAATAAGCATAGTACTTCCTGTTGGTAACACCTATTCTTTCGTAATTACTTTCAGTAAAGCACTACATCATGTGTCAAGGAGCTGAGTTGAAATTCATTAATAAAAATCAGAAGGAAACCCTTTAATTAAAGCAGTGCGAAATACTATTTGCATTCAAGGAACAACTTCTGAAAGTGCCTTGCTAACAGTTTAAAGAAAATCCCTTCTGAACAGCAACCTGATTCAGTCATCTTGAAATCCAGGTGCTACAGTGCAATGAATTGATCAGTCTCCTGAATGCTGCCCTCAAAATCCTGGAAAACAGCTAAGGTCAAGAATTGAAGCAGATGCATCATAGTCTCCAGGAAGCAATTTATAAGCCTGTGCTTTGACTATGTACATGAAATATACATCTGAATTGTCTAGCTTTGCCATAAAATGTAAATACTCCAGACGAATGTGCACAAAGTGTAAGAAAAAAAAATAAATCAGAGCATTCTTTGCTTGGTGCAGTAGTAAAACAAACACTTTCTAATAATATATAGCTGTATTAAGTTTTCTATTTGGAATATTAAGCACTCAAGTACAGGAGCAGGTGGTGTATACCTGATCATCACATTCACCTTTCAACTTTCTGGATTTGTAAAACAGGGACATTTCTATTACATACACTGTGGTAATCTCATATTACTGTCATGTATTCTGATATTGAATTCAACCACCCCACAGGGAAGAATTTATCAGGAAAATCTGATCACATTCTTCTAAGATGTACTGGTTAAAAACAAAATGCAGGATGCTCATATGCCAGAATCTAAGTGCTAGACTCACAATTTCTATTATTCAACAGGAGGACACTCTGGAAAATAGCTGGACAAGTCTTCCCTATCTGTGGATCAGCAAAACCTCAGATGCTGATTCAACACAAAGCCTGAAGAATGCCGGAGCTATAGAAATTTTGTGAGGTTTAGCGATCCTTCCAAGAAATGTGAGTCCGGTTACACTGTGACTGTAGATACCTTTCTGGGAATTATGAGGAGCAAAAATAAGCTTTGTCGCTAGAGGATCTAGTATAGATTAGATCCGCAACCAGCTACCAGATTTGTGGTGTTAGGGTATTTCTAGACAGGCTGTATATATTACTATGCAGTGACACAGGACTGCATGGTACCTGAATTCTTGCTTTCCTTTCCATGTATGTGAATGTTTTAAAAACTTCTCTAGTAGTCTGTGCTGTTGAATTTGTTGAGCATTCACACTTGCGTATGTCAGCATGCTCAGGCACAAATACACAGAGACATGAACTAAATAAATAGAGATCAAGTGCATCTTAGGAGGGAAGTACTAAGTTTCCACCTCAGATTTCACCAAAATAAAACAAAATTTATAGAATATAACCCACTGAACGTCTGGCAGAAGTGGGGAATGACAGCTTGCTTAGGTGGCAACAGCCTAGACCATAAGAAGAAATCGCCAACATTCTTCTGCAAGCATAGTAATCTTTCTCTTTTTTCACTTTTTTTTTATTAAAACATTTTAGATATCCTCCTTATTTGCCTTCTAATTCTGTATAGAGCTCTCTCTTTCTCACTCATGCACAGCTTAATCAAGACTCTCCAGAAAACAACCACACCAAACACAGAAAATAGTAAAGCATAAATAAAATGGAAGGTCTGTAAGAGTATTTTGATGCCTTCATACAGGATCTGGGAATGTTAATCTCCCCTTTTTTCTTTAGATACTTAAACCTGGATAGAGAGGTTCAACTAACAGATCATATATGCATACTTTTGTTGACCCATATAGGATACACTCATTTCATTCTGACATCCAGGCTCTGAGAGTTTGACACTGGTATGTTTGAATTTCCATTAGGCTCAGTGACTTACTGGCTGATGCTTCTTTGCAATACAAAGTCTGTTGTGCAACCATACTATAAACTTGCCTTTCTGCTAAGCCCTGCTAGAACTACACCATTTCCTGGAGGCTAGCATACTCTTTTGAGCCTGTACACAAGCTGTTAAACTCTAGTGGCACTTGAAGCTACTGTCAGAATAAGAGACTCTTCAATTTTCCATCCTAGGAATTGTGGTAAAAAAAGTATGTGTATGCATACACAGGCAGAAACCCAGAATGCACGCACACGCATGTACAGACAAATAGGTATCACTACTATCTGTATCACTCCAGCTCTCAGTATTTAAATGTACTGTGAAAGATGGACAGAATAGAGAAGACAAGCCTGGAATGGATATTTCTTACCATGTGCCACCCAGCCATGTTTACACTGATCACAGGTTCTCAGGTTAATCTTCCCTGGCTGAAAACATTCACATGTGCAATTTACCAGTGTACAGCGGATGGCCTGGAAAAAGAAATGGAAAACACATATTAATGTCTTTCTTCCTTCTTGTACAAATCTGTTGTGAGGGCTAGAAGGGTATTTATTAACTGTACAGCAAAACTCAGCCTTCTAACATTCAAAGCATGGCTCATTCCTTTAAGCAGAGATTAATTTTCTTTCAAAAACACACTTCAGTATCCCTGAGCAATGACAACCAAAATGCTTATTCAATAATAACATAGTCTGTTGTGCCACAGAGACGAATACATTCCTGAAGTCTTTAAAAGAATTGCTCTATTTCCTTTAGGAAAAAAAAAAAAGTAGAAGAATGAGAATTCTGTAGCAGTTCCACAAATTTTCCTGATTTTGCATCAACTGTCTGAAGTAAAATGTTACTAGCAATGTCTTACCATAGCAGCATATCAGCTTGATTAAAACCAAGAGTAAACTGAGGAAACAAAAAAATACAAAAAGGAAACCTATCGATCTCTTTTCCCTTCCCCCATACTATCCAAAGGTTATTCTCAAGTTTCCTTCTTGGGGTTCACATAAGATATAACCCCGCTACAGAAAGGAGTCATGGATTTGATGTGTTCCCAAAACAGGATAAAATGATCAAGGCACAAGAATGGGACTTGGTCATAAAACATACTGTAACCTTCCTTTACATCTATCACTTTCTTCAGTACCTAGGCATAACACTTTACCTCTTAGCACTCCTTATCTGTCAAACATGTATTTCTCTGTTTTGCAAAAGATGAAATTATTTCAAAGCAGTGATGCTAAAACTTCAGTCCTATGCAAAGATCTAAAATTTGCTTAAATAATACACCTTATTAATATCTCACCTCCCTTTTAAAAACTATTTAAAAAATTACACAGGTTTACTTTGACAGGGGCTAGCTACATCCACAGAAAAGTGAATGTAAATTGAATGAGACTCTTTTTAATCTGTAACAGACATATGTTTTTAAATAGTGTAGAGGATGACCCATGCACTTCCAACTGCTACTAATAAATTTATGGCATGCATTTAGATGTAATTTGCATGGAGATTTCTGAGACAGAGAGGCTTATTCTTATCATTCACAGATTAACAATCTTCTGTAACTACCAGAGCTGCCAGGAAAAGATATCTCTATAGATTTAGATGCAATCAATAATTACTTGGGGGCTAAGGTGGATAAAGAATTACTTTAAATATACTGACTTCAAGAAAAATATATTCAGCTTTAGCTTGGACAAGCTAAACTCCTTGGTTGCTGACAATTAAAAAGGTTAGGAGTTATGTAAAATGTTTTATCTCTTTACTTATTTATCTGGATCAGACAGCAATTTAAAGCCATTTATAGTTCATAGACCCACTTAAAATCTGTATTTCTCTGATAAATTTCTGGTACAAGTGTCCTGCCTCCCTCCTATCCTATCTGCTCTTTTACTGCCTTTTACTCTCAAAAACCTAGTGGGGAAAAAAAATATCCTGCTGTATTATGCCTGACACTTCAGGGCCTCAGTTCCAATGTCACCTGTCCAATTACTCATTAGCTAGGTTATAAAACACTGCTGTATGTATGCGTGATTAAAAGAATTAGTAATATGAAATATAAGGGTAGCAAAGAAGTGCTGACCGTGCAAGAATAATATATGTGTTTGTGGGTTATGAGAAAAAAATTCTCCTGAAAGGTCCTGTTTCATGTTCAATAGTTTATTGACTCGGTAATATATCAGGTCTCCACCGGTCAGTAATGGTGTTCTTTCTCTAATATGTTCACTAATTAATGAACTCAGTAATTAATTGTACTGCAAGTAGAAGGGCTTACAAAATGGTATTCTTATTTTATCATAAAAGGTTTTCTTACACTCAACACCTTTTTTAAGTTTCTGCAGCAGTGACACACATTTGTTGTATTTGATGTTATTTTGTCTTGTTCATGTGTCACTTACAGTACGTATAATAGCAGTAGTATAGTGTATGTACACATATTAGATGAAAGTATGTCATTTGGTTGAGTTGCTTTATTAAGGCTCATCAGCACTTCCATTACAACTCTACCTATTTTTGGACTAGAGGTTAACAGGTTGCCTGTAAAAATTGGATTCAGCTTGAACCTGAAATACACTGTTTCAGCCTAAGAGTGAGTTTTATTACACACATTCAAAAATGATCCATTTAGCCATTATAAATTATGAGATGGGAGGAAAAACTTTAGGTTTCATGTTTCTTTTCCCGAGTTAAAGAGTGTCTTGATGGCGTAAAGCATTGAAGAAGATTCACTAATTAGTAAGATTCTCTCTCTTATACATACCCTCCCCCTCAATACCCGCAAACTTTTCAGAAACTCGAAAATGTCGGCTTGTTCCTCAAATAACTAAATCTGAAAAGTCTTCAAAAAGAGTTATGCATTTTTATAAAATAATATGGATTGGCATGAGAAACTCCAAAGACAAGTAGCATGGCCAAAACATTCAGCCTTGTCCTACTTGTCTGCTTCTTCTGCAAAGGGTGTATTGATGCCAGTTTGTAATCTGGTTTCAGTAGTTTTCCATCCCATCACTGAGAATCCCATGCACATTTCTGAGTGATAAGGATAAACCCTCAAGCTGCAAGATGCTCATTTGGGACTGAAAAATTCATACTCTAGTGCACATTCTGGCATGATCTTGGGCAAATTACTGTGTTAGTCTGATGCCTACATTCCCTTAACGATATCCCGACACAATGATAGTAAAGTGTTGTTGTCAGGCTAAATGCAACATAAAGTGCAAGGCACTCTCTGGTGATGGAGGCTATTGAAAATCTCAAGTAGAATTTAGTCTTTATTTCAAAGATTCATTTTTCACTTTACTCGGTTCATCCAGAATCATTGTAACTACCTCAGATCACTACAATCTCCAACACGAAACCAGCACTTTGGCAGAGAAAACATTCAAGATGCCAGGAATAGTGTGTGAACCTACACATACAGATGAAACATGAACATTCATTAACACAAAAGATAGCATTGTCTTTAAAGACCTTCACAATGCAACCAACATATGTACTGAGCCTTCAAGGATACGCATCTGCATTACTAACAGTATCCTTCTACTGGTTTTCAATAGCATTTATCTTATGCATACAAGTCACTGACTGTGCAACAGACTCAGAAATTGCCCAGAATGGCAGCAGGAAATGAATGTGGCATAGATTCACCTATGAATCGAAAGCTCTAATGCAGCTCCTCCATTCCCCAGCGGTGGGATTTTATGGGTGCAGAGGGGATGAAAGCACAGTAGTTGGTGTGCTTGGAGGTAGCAGCGTGGATTGGTGTAACTGTGGTTGGACATCTGTTACTGCTTAATTTGAAAGAGGTAGGGTGGAGAGTAGGGATCATAAAAAGATCCTGGGTGAGTTTGCAGCAGCTAAATATTGTAGCCATTGTTCAAAGTTGTTACAAAACAGGTATTAAAATCCAAGGGTGTAGCAATGCTAAACTTTTGTCAGAAAATGCTTCTGAAAGAGTACTGCTAGGCATTCCGGAAGTCACCCCCTGCAATTTTGCCTTCACAACATATTGCTAAAAAGTTTACATAATTTTCCTCAGAAACCTCTCCAAGGAAGACAGAATGAAAACACAAGGAAAGGAAAAGAAACCAATGGCCTTGCATAGCGAGAGGAACAGTAAATTCAGCAGATATAGGCTCCCCCTGTATCAGGTGATAGGCAACCATGTATTTAGACGACAGCTTGCAAGTTAAGGCCCTTAAGTAAGCAACATAACAGTTTTCTACAGCTTCTTGAAAAGTGCCACTATGTTCTACCACGTCAATGGTCTGCAGATAACAGGAGTTCTCAGACATGTTTATACATCCCTTCCACTGAGTTCCTAACATAACACTCCTTGCATGTCTACCAAATTACATTGGCCCTTGAAGACCTGTGGAGGAAATGCACTAGATTTCAGTAGAATAATTTTAAATAGTTTACACAATTGTTTCCTTAAAACTTAAAGCAATGCTATTAAGGTTTAAGAACAAAATACACATATACAAAAATAAATTAATGATTTTATAATTGACACTGAAACATTCAGAAATATCTTGCTGCTCTCTTTGAGACCTTCTTCCAGTAGGGTGTAATGCAGAAAGAAGCGAACCTTGCCTAGCATTTAAGCATGTGGTCTAGTACGCCTATGCATAAGCTTGTACGGCTAACATTAAAAGATGTTAGACCTGACTTCTGTGGGTTTCCCCCAGACCAAAGATATTCATTTAACGTAGCTCGTGTGATTTAATTATATGTAACAAGTAAATATTATTCATATATTAATAGGAACAGCCTATAGCAGTAATGGAAAATCAATCTGTCTGGCTGTTTCGCAGAGCTTCCAAGAGATAAGAAGCAATAACCTATCATCAAAGGGATCACAATGTGGGAGAAGAACACATACAGAAGAGATATACTTCCTCCTCTGGAGTTCTTACAAGTGACCGCAAAAGATGGAGGCAGTTTAAAATGATGCAACATTCTGGAGAGACAGGTAAGTTTTGCAACTTCCTTTATCCTGAATTTTAATAGTAAATCTAACAAAAATTCTTAATGTAACTTGTGATGAGGCTCCAAGAGTCGTGTGAGGTTAAATAGCGTCTTACTGAAGTCTCTGCTACACTCCTCTGTACAGTGGACAGTATTTAACAGAGCCTTGCTCTTAGTGTCCTTGCCTCATCTTGCTCATGTATGAAAAGGTATTTAAGAAATGTCTCCTATCAAGCCATCTATGACATAAGGGCTCACTGCGCACCTGAATACATACCAGAGTCAACTACATGCACTCTCTTTGCATGGAAATTCCATCTACCTATCTAAGACACCTACCAAACATTTATCCTACAGAGCTCACACAATCTAAATCCACTGTTACCAACCACAGGAGCACAAGGCTTGAAGATGATTTGGTCTAGTGTTTGTGAAATCTTTATGCCGAGATTTCAACCAGCAAACTGGTCTGTAAGTGCAGTTCCTTGCAGCTGCATTAAAATCA